AGGACAGCGATGAAGTGAAGGTTGAAAGAGGGGAGGAGGCGATTTATGGAACTAAAATGAAAATAAGCACATGGGACAATATTATTAGAGTGGGAGTGAAAGAAAACCATACTGCCATGGATGACACCCACACCATATACCTGAGGAAGAGATTGAGGACTGTCAATCAGGGAGAAGTTATTGGTTTTAAAGAGGGCTGCTGACAATTAGTGACATTTCAGTTTTATCTGAGTTTAGTTCTACATGGCAGAAAAGTACAGGTGGTAACACTTTAACACATGTTAATGATTGCGTTGCAATTTTATTGACATAAATATCTGCGAAATCTTGATGTGAACTGAAATGCTGCACAACACAGCTGTTAAATGTGGAATCACATGAGAAGGGAAGTAACTGGCTAAACTGTGTTTTACAGATAAAGCATGATAACACCTTAAAAAAACACTGTTTACAGATTTATGCTACACAGATAAAAAATCCAAAATGCACAAAGACACAAAAATGACAAAACTTAGGTAACAAACAATGAATGTTGCTCAGTAGGACAGTTCCAGGTTGGATGGAGTTCCGGTATTAACAGAATTAAAAAATAACTATATGACTGGCACAGAGGCTGCCAGACAGTGCAGACAGTTCCTTTGTATTATGTGGAATGTGCATCCACCTCTGGATAGCTGAGCATTTGACAGGAAACAGATGTGGGCGTTATGATGAAATTCAAATGTCTCCTGTAATTATAGTTCCAATTTGTGTGTTTCTCTGGGAGCTCAGCTTTGACATCTGTGAGTTTTCTATTACAATCTTTCAGGGCATCTTGTGTCTCCTGGCTGCTGGTGTGTGTGGCCTAAATTTGTACACCAAATGTTTGTGGGTCTAAACTGCAAACAAAAAAAACACCTTTAAGAAAACCATTACACTGAAAAATCTGAATCTGAGTGGTGTTTTTTCTAGGCAATAAGGTCCTTTTTGTGGATGATCTGATTTAAGCTATTTTAAAACTAGTAAATAATGGTTTGTTGTTTGGGTGCAAAATGCAAACACAAATCAGTGAAGGGGCAAATTGAGGATGTCGAAGATTGCATTTCAGGGAGAGCTTTTACAAAGCAATAGAAACTTAAAGAAATCAATTACAAATTCCCTGCCTTATCTCTTAAGACGGAATCAATCTGAGAAAATAATGGTATTGGTATCAGATCTAAAAGTCTTAAACAGTTATCGGGTGCAGGCAATGATTTAGAAGTCCTGGGTTCTGTTAAATAGATCTTATTAAGGAAGTAAGACCTTAACTGACAAAAAAATGTTTCATAACAAAGTATATTACAGAATGTATAAAATGATTATATGCTAGAAGATGTGCATGGCAAAATTACATGTTGGCTTGAAAACGTGCTTACTGTGACAGCAACTCAATTAGGTAAATAACATTATATTCATACTTCGTTACATAAAACTATTCAAAATATATACATATTTTTTTTGTTCAGCTAGGATTACCAAAATAATTTCTGTTTCCTAATTAGTACATAGAATAGCAAAATTAAACAGCAGTAAGCAGAATTATATGCATTTTTTTATTTGTATATGTTATACTACTTGTCTTAAATTCATAATATTGCCAAAATTATTATGCAAACCATTTAAAATTTCAGAATGTATGATTGCAAGTTGAGACAGCGCAGATGGTGACATCATCATAGATTAATTCTGTTAATTAGAAGCAGAAGTGACAACCTATTTTAAAGCCACATGTCAAACACATATCATGGAAAAAATAAAACTGGCATGATATTATGAAAAGAAATCTGCAAAAGTGTAGCTCATGACTGGACATGATTTCCAAATGCCAGGTTCATCTGCCATTACATCAAACAGGAATGAGAGAGATTCTAGAGGTGTTTTTGTATTAAATGTGCATTTTCTTTTTCAAGGAAATTTTACCAGATATTTTTTTTTTCCAACAAAAAACCTAATTTAATGTTTTGCCCACGGTAGACAGCTTTTTTCTGCCAAAGAAAGTTTTCCTGGTTTCTAAGATAACAGCAATGTTGCCAAATAATTATGTCTGAACTTCAGGAAAGAAAACAACTTTAGCGGGTGAGTTAGTGAAATTAGGAAAAATGACATTTCAGTAACATTCACAAATACAACTAACTAAAATATTCAGATTTGGGCGATAGAGGCAGCTTGTGTATTTAGTATTCTTCTACTAAAGTTATCCTTTGAATTATTTTTCTCTCCATTTGTCAAAGAAAACCTGAGGGGGCGTTTCACATAGATTAATTATTCATGTGGATTAACTTTCCAATTGTTTGATTTTTACTCCTGGAAAGAAAAAAAGCAAAAGACCACTTCATAGAAACCACATTTGAACTCAATGCCAGTCTTATATACAGCCCTTTTTAACACTGTAACCATTTAGCTTATTATTTCTATGAGGCCCTTCGTCTCTCCCACTCTTATCTTTCTTCTAATCTTTCTTGCGCACTCAACCATTAGACGAGTGGATGACTTGTGGTGCTCTGTAAATTTCATCTCTGTCAATCCAATCACTTCTGGCTACGGCTCAAGGGGGAACATCTGCTGGTGGGAGGGAATCTGGTCTTTGTCCGATGACTGCTTCTCAGTCAGCAAAAGCAGAACAACTGTCTGTGAAAGACGAAGGCAACCGTTTGCGATAGCAATATTAACTATCACTCCAAAACCATAAGAGGGGCAAACTGTAGACAGTAAATGTGGGTTTGAAGTCTGAGAAAATTCATTGGTATTTCAAGCAAGCTGCTTTTTCTTGCACCCTGTGGGGTGCCTGAGAGAGTTCCTTGCTCAGTGTATCAGAATGGACAAATAACCTAACAGATCTATGCTTAGTGCATTAGTGTAAAGGTTGCGCTGTCTTTCCACCCACGTCTCAGGGAGATGTGCTTAACTCCAAATAGCCAATTTGGTCATGTTAACAACATGCTGCACTCCACCCTCAGGACAAAGCTGCAAAGAGCTCCTATTTCAGGAGGAGGGGTTATTACAGGGCATTAAAACAGGGCTCATTACAGGGCATTAAAACAGGGCTCACACAGACATTGTTAGTGGGCACTTAACCATCTGTACACAACTCTCCACTGGAACGCGTCTGAATATTTTTCACAAAGCCAAGCCTCATCTCCATATTGACCTCCACGAATGGTAGTGTCCTTTTCCAGTCCATCCAAGCATACAGGAAGCATTCATAAAACCCTTCCTCGCTTTAAGCCATGACCCCCATGAGAGAAGTGCTGTTGCGGAGTATTCTGAGTCGCAGAGAAAACCCAGCTGTGGAATATCAAAACCTCCCATCTGTCCACTTCCCTCCTCACTTTCTGCATTTTCCCCGTTCTCATGTCACAGGAAGGGCATGACCTGCAAGGCCAATGATTTAGTCTGACTGACTGAAGACTCCAGGAAATGAACAGGTCACCCAGGAGTCCCACTGTCTGACGGGCAATAAAGCTCGTCATTGAAGAGTGAGCAGAATGCAACAAGTTCACTGAGATATCATTTAGATTAAAAACAAAGAGGATGAAGAAATATATTCAAGAAACATACTGCAAATATGTTATGAATTTAGATGGGAACTGACGTATATGCCATATTAATGTACCCGGTAAGATAACGCTGTGCATGTCTTTGAAAAATATGATGTGCAGACCACTTTAGCATTAAGTAGGCTCACTGTCCGTCCTATCTGGATTCTGGAAACTACGTTGATAAAGAAGAGAAATAAAGAAGAAAAACTTGCCTTACTATATGTAAGCAAAACTCTTTAGTTTTACTTAGCTCTAAGAAAAAGTTAGAAGCATTTTTTCAAGTGATTTGCATAAGAACCTTTTCACATTTAGTCTTATTATATCAACAAAAAAAAGTAACAAAGTAATGCATAATTGAAAAGTGGAGTGAAAAGGTTGTGTATAAATAAAAGTCTAAAAAGTTGAGCATGCTTTTCTATTCAGCCTTCTTCACTCTGACATCCTGAAACAAAATCCTGAGAATCCAACTGTTCTGAAAAAGGCCTAAAAGGTTGGTTAGAATTTATGACATAAAAATTTAACATCCTGAAAGCTGAGGAACACACCAGACAGGCCAAGAATAACGTTTTGATGATGCTTAAAGCAGTGTTTTATAAGTAAAACAATTTCCAAAATTAGAAAAATCTCACTGAAATGTTCAAACAATCATCTAAAAAGGGGTAAGACACAACAGGAAAACCTCGTCCTCCACTTAAACTGACAGACCAATAAGCTGTGAAGCATGGAAACAAAATAAATCATTGTTGAATCAAATCAACAAATAGATCCTCTTGTTACTTATCAGGAAACATTTTCAAGGAAGCACTCTGAATTGAGCCTTTTAGCCTCTTTGTAAAAGGCCATGTATGGCCTAAAACTAACAGAGCATCCTCTAGAGATGTGTTTGTTCATCAGGTATAGTTAATGGGAGATGCAGAACTTATCATAGGTCAATTGAAGAAAAAGATAAAGGGTGTAAAAGTCTTACGAAAGAGGTTTCCTTCCAGCAGCACAATTACTACATACACACAACCAGAGCGACACTGGAACTGGTTTAGATTGTGTGTTAGAATGGTCCACTCAAAGTGTAGAATCCAAAAGAAAAAAAAACATGAAATATATCTTAACAGAGAATATTTCAATCTGAAAGCAGACAAGCTGTTTTGTAAAGTGAAAGGTGATTTTTCAAAGTATAGTCAATGGCAAGAGAAGATGAAAGCTGAAGAAATGAATGGAACACTTTTTAGAAACATTTAGAAAAACGTCTTGGATTCCTTTCACTGCACCATTAGTTTTACTCTATCCCACTACTAACCTCTGTAGAATACGCAAAGGTTTTCTGAAGTAATGTTTTAAAACAAAGAAATTCAAGAACAATTGCAATAATGAATAACTGTTGCCTTTACTGTTTGTTTCATTTCCATATGAATGATGTGTTTTATAAAAGCACAAAGCCATCTTTACCTGGTTCTTCAAATCCAGCCTGGGACAGGGGCGTCCGCCGTTAAAGGCTTTCTCCCTGAGCCACTTAGACCTAATTTTCAGTCCGCTGCCACAGGAGGAACTGCATCCCGACCAAGAAGACCAATCGCTGAGCTTACAGTCCAGGGGGCAAGGGATGTAACAAACCTCCTTGATGTAGCCTACAGTTGAACAAAACAATTAAATTTGATTCAGAATAAGAAGGAACAATCGAATCCTATATTTTTTCAGACTGGTTGCAAATAAAACTCAAATTCCCTCCACGAGTAACAACTTCAGCCAATTGTTTGTCTAAAGATTGCACTGGTAGAAATCGCAGATCTTGAAACAGTCAGGTTTCATCTGGAAAAGAAGAGAAGTTGGAAACCCTCTAAAAAGATCACGAATCAGATCACTTTTGAAAGTCAATTATACCTGAGTCTGTGCAGAGCGTGGGGTTAACGAGGTGTCCCCGCTGGTCAATGCAGGCCACAGCTCTGTAGCGGAGACCTTGGCCACACTCTTTTACCTCTCGGTGCCTCATCCAACCGTGCAGCGACTCGAAAACTGGAGGATTTGGAAGGATGCACGCAGACCAATTCCCAAACGGCTGAGATAAAAACTCATTACAGGGACATGTCTGGTTCTCTTCCAGCGGGTACATGTCCTCATTCAGGCAACGCTCCTTCTTTTTGCTACGGCCTAAGTAGAAAATGGACAAAACAATGAAAAGTTGTGACAACAGGAGCAACATTAAAGTTTTAATGAAGTTTGAGGAAAACTCTCTCTTGTACAAAAGGGTACAAACTACTGAATATATAAACAGTTTATTTTTTGAGTTTGTATTCATTGGTAGAGAGCTAACAATTGCTGATTTTCAATTGGGGAAAACAATGGTGAAATTCAGATTAAATATTTATAACAATTTGAACTACACCAACTTGTCGCTAATTTATTCATAGCCATGCATTCTTAATATTACAATGCTGGCAGGTGTACAGACTAGAATACTCATTAGCAACTTATTGAGGGTGAAATGTTTGTTTAAATTAATGCCACTGTGGGAAATATTTCTACAATTATACAACTTCTACTTATTTAATATGTGCCCTGAAGTCATCTGTATTTAATTCTGACTCAGCTAATATAATCACTGCGGTGAGGCTCACTGGTTCGACTTTGCAAGAATGTGGAATACTTTGGATATACAGCTACTTCACATTCTCACACTTCTCAAAAAATTCAAACCACATCTGAAACTCGCAAATCCATCAAAATGTCCCAGGAGGATAAAGTGTGTTTCTTATATTCATGTCGCTTACAAATTTGCATGATGCATTTCAAGGACGCACTGTGATATTAGCATCTTAAAATAAACATTCACTTGGATTTGTTTGAATGAGTTTGTTTGAGTAAATCTACATGCTTGCTGTCAAATGATCATCAAGTCATCTAAAGATTAGAAATTTTCTGTGTGCAGATGGAGTATAAATGTTGCTTAATGTAATTGAAGTTCTTTCAGTTTCTTGTTTCACAAAAACAAATGGCGGCAGAAAAAATGTTTGTCAGTTTATTCAATGATCAACTTCATTGCAGCTCCTATCAACCGAAATGTAATTTTTTTCAGCAAAAGTAGAATAAATCAGTTTAGTGCATTGTAATTAGGTGAAAGGAAGTCTGCTACCTTTATGTTAGATCCCTAGATAACCTGAAGAAACAACTGGTGTTAGAAAGAATATAAAATTTAAATTTTCAATTTATGCTCAAAACCCAAAGGCAAGCACATACTTATTTTCTTTATATTGCCACACCACAGAGAACTGGACCCACGGAAAGCAAAATAATTACTTGTCTAGTTGCAGTTTGTTTGTAGCTAAAAAAATTTATTTCTTTGTTATGTAAATATTCTTTACTTTGTCAAAAATTTATATAATCTACAAGGGAAATACGAACAAAATCCATATTTCACAAAGATAAACAATAAGTAGAACACAAAAAAGTGTGTTAATCAGAGACACAATCCAGTGAAAAGTTTGGTATTCTTGAAAGAGTCAATTGTCTACATTTGTTAAGAATTGGCTCTATATTCAATTTAATTAACTGAATTGAATATCTTTGGGAAGGCTTAAATTCAAAGGATAAATTTAATTTTAGTAGTATTTTGCAACCTTCAGATGTTTTGAGAAACGTGTTTTCTGTAGATCAAGTCTTAAAAATTATAGAACTGAACACTTAGAATGTAACAGTCTGTTATTTATCTGCAAAGCTTTTTTAATATCAGTATATATATATATATATATATATATATATATATATATATATATATATATATATATATATATCTTCTGAGTTTCTTCAGTTTCTGTTCCTGTCGAGGACCTTTAATTTCCCTTTTTCTTTTGTTATTATTATTATTATTAAATTTAAATTTTATATTCTTTATATTATTATTATACCAAAATATATATATATATATATATATATATATATATATATATATATATATATATATATATATATATATATATATATATATATATATATATATATATGTATTGAGCTGACTGGATAGCTCAATACATAAGGCATCAGTATATCACCCGAGAGGGCAGGGTTCGAATCCAGTCTGGGTCCTTAGGCAAGACCCTTCAAGCTACTGCCTACCTCATACCATGAGAGATACTAAGTTGCGTAACATGCCGGCTCAGACGTCGCCCGGCCAAACAAGGTCTGCGTCAGGTGTTGGGGAACCAGAGCACCTTGATGACAAATGGGCTACTGGAACAAGACGGAAATGGGCGAGAGATGAAAATGTGGATCTGTTGGAATGCTACTACTCAAGTAACCCTAGTGAGAGAGGTTACATGCAAAGACTGGGGAAGGAATGGTTACTTCGACATCCCCAGTCAACACTAAGCGCTAAACAACTAGTAGCTCAGTGTTCCAACATCCGCAAACGGCAACTGCTATCACAACTTGAGATTGACGAGATACAACACAAATGCTACGGCAAAAGGGAGGAACCCGGATGTCAGGACTGTGGGGACTTAACTGCAAGTCCCCACCCAGTGAGGGGATACACGGCCCCAATGAGCGAAACAGAGCTGAACGAGACAGCTGCTGACCTGAGAGAGAGAATCATGACCCGAATGACAACCAGGCCTCCTCGGCGCCAATTACAACGGCTGAGTGAAGTACCATCAGAAAGTCTCATTGAGAATGTGAATGCAGCATTGAGAACGATCCCTACCAATACCATAACAGAAACCAATGAGCTGATCTACAACTCAGCATCAGTGATCCTTGAGATACTTGGCTATAAGAGCAACCATGAGACCCAATACCCACCATGGAAAAGACGGTTAGAGGCTAAAATCAAGGTAACAAGGAGGGAAGTGAGCCAACTGTCAGAGCTCCACAAGGGTACAATGAAAAGACCAGTACCCAGAAAGTACAGCCAGATGCCCATACCTGAAGCACTCGAAACTGCCAAACAGAGGCTCCAAGCCTTGGCCAGCCGCCTAAAGAGATACACAAGGGAGAATGAATCCAGAAGGATTAACCGGCTCTTCTCCACTCAACCAGCTAAGGTGTACTCTCAATGGCAGGGTAATAACAACAGAGCAGACCCACCAAGGCTGGAGACTGAACAATACTGGAAAGGCATATGGGAAAAGGAGGCGTCCCACAACAGCAATGCACAGTGGCTGATCTCTCTACGAGAGGACCACAGCAACCTCCCTGAGCAAGCCCCGGTAACCATCACTGTGACAGATGTTCAAGAAAGAGTCTCAGGTATGAAAAATTGGACAGCACCAGGGCCTGACATGATCCATGCCTACTGGCTAAAGAAACTCACTGCTCTCCATGAGCGACTGGCAGCCCAAATGAACCAGCTGCTACAAAGTGGGACTCACCCTGAATGGTTAACTGAAGGGCGGACAATCCTAATCCAGAAGGATCCATCAAAGGGTCCAGTCCCACCCAACTACCGACCAATAACCTGCCTCTACACAACCTGGAAGCTCATGTCAGGCATCATAGCGGCCAAGATAAGCAAACACATGGATAAACACATGAGCGCGGCACAGAAGGGTATCGGTGTAAATACCAGAGGAGCCAAACACCAACTCCTCGTAGACCGCACAGTTGCCCGAGACTGCAAAACCCGACAAACCAACCTGTGCATGGCTTGGATCGATTACAAGAAAGCCTATGACTCAATGCCGCATACTTGGATCATTGAATGCCTAGAGATGTATAACATCAACAGGATTCTGAGAGCCTTCATTGCAAACTCGATGAAGCTGTGGAAAACCACCCTTGAAGCCAACTGCAAACCACTTGCACAAGTGTCCATCAAATGTGGCATATACCAAGGAGATGCTCTGTCCCCCGCTACTGTTCTGCATAGGCCTGAACCCCCTCAGCCAAATTATCAACAAGACTGGCTACGGATACCGACTCAAAAATGGGGCCAACATCAGTCACCTCCTCTACATGGATGACATCAAGCTGTATGCCAAGAGTGAGCGAGACATCGACTCACTGATCCACACCACCAGGATCTACAGCACTGACATTGGGATGTCATTCGGACTAGAGAAGTGTGGTCGGCTGATCACAAAGAGGGGGAAGGTGATCCGCACAGAAGGAGTCTCACTCCCACAAGGAACAATAGCAGACATAGAGGACAGTTACAAGTACCTAGGTATACCACAAGCAAATGGCAACCTCGATGAGGCCACAAGGAAAGGAGCCACAGCTAAATACCTCCAACGAATAAGGCAAGTCCTGAGAAGCCAGCTCAATGGCAAGAACAAAATCCGTGCGATAAACAGCTATGCCCTGCCAGTAATCAGATACCCTGCTGGAATAATTAGCTGGCCAGGAGGAGATAAAAGCCACAGATATTAAGACTAGAAAGCTACTAACCATGCATGGAGGGTTCCATCCCAAATCCAAACCCTGAGACTGTACACGAGCCGCAAGGACGGAGGCAGAGGACTAGTGAGTGTGAGAACCACTGTCCAGGACGAAACTACTAAGATCCATAAATACATCAGGGACAAAGCCTCAACAGACAATGTGCTCAGCGAATGTCTCAGACAACAGGGAACGGAGGTTGAGGTGCCAGAGATACCATCATGGGAGGACAAGCCCCTACATGGGATGTACCACCAGCAAATAACCCAAGTGGCTGATATCAGTAAATCCTACCAATGGCTGGAAAAAGCTGGACTCAAGGACAGCACAGAGGCCCTCATCCTGGCCGCCCAGGAACAGGCCCTAAACACCAGAGCAATAGAGGCCCAGATCTACCACACCAGACAAGACCCAAGGTGTAGGTTGTGCAAGGAGGCCCCTGAGACAGTCCAGCACATCACAGCAGGGTGCAAGATACTGGCAGGGAAAGCGTACATGGAGCGACATAACCAAGTGGCAGGCATTGTGTACAGAAACATCTGTGCAGAATATGGACTGGAAACCCCGAGATCAAAGTGGGAAACACCCCCAAAGGTGGTAGAGAACACCAGAGCTAAGATCCTGTGGGACTTCCAGATCCAGACAGACAAAATGGTAATGGCGAACCAACCAGACATTGTCGTAGTGGATAAAAATCAGAGGAAAGCCGTTGTGGTTGATGTAGCAATACCAAGTGATTGCAACATCAGGAAAAAGGAGCACGAGAAACTGGAGAA